CCACTCATACAACCATCCATCCACCCATCCACGGTCACACCTATCCACCCATCCACCCACCCATCCACCTACCCATCCATTCATCCACCTGCCCACCCATCCACCCACTCATCCATCCATCCATCCATCTACTATCCATCCACACACCCAACCACACACCTATCCATCCATTCATCCACCCATCCATCCACCCACCCATCCATCAATCCATCCACCCATCCATGCATACATCCTTCCATCCATCCACCATCCAAACACCTATCTACCCCCCATCCATCCATCAACCCACCCACTCATCAATCCATCCACCCACCCACCCAACCATCCATCTGCCATCCATCTACCATGCATCCACCCACCCATGCCCAAAACCACCCATCCATCCATCCACCCATCCACCTACCCAACCACTCATCCACCTACCCACTCACTCATCCACCTACCCACTCACTCATCCATCCATGCACCCCTCCATCCATCCACCCACCCATCCACACACACACACCCCTCCATCCATCCACCAACCCACCCATCCATCAGTCCAACCACCCATGAACCCATCTGTCCACCCACCCATCCATGAGCCACCCATCCACCCATCCATCCACCCAACCACCCATCCACCTATCCTCTCATTCATCCACCCATCCATCCACCCACCCACTCATTCATCCACCCATACATCCACCCATCTATTTAAAATCCATCCATCCACCCATCCATCTACCCATTCATTTATCTATCCATCCATAAACCCCTTCTCCCAATGACCCATCTATCCACCCACCCACCCATCCATGCACCCATCCATCCATCCATCTAACCACCCATCAACCCACCCACCCACCCATCCATCCATCCACCCACTATCCATCCATCCACCTATCTACCACCCATCCACCCACCTACCCACCAATCTATCCATCCATCCACCCATCCACCTACCCACCCACCCACCCATCCACTGAACCATCCATCCACCCATCCATCCAGTCATCCACCTACCCACTCACTCATCCACCCATCCACTCATTCATCTAACATCCATCCACTCACACATGCACCCATCCTCTCACCCACCCATCCCTCCACCCAACAATCCACCCACCCACCCTTCCATCCATTCAACCACCCACCCATCCATCCATCTGCCTTCCATTAACCATCCATCCACCTACCCATCCATCCATGCACCCATCCATGCACCCATCCATCCAGCCAACCACCCATCCATCCATATACCCACCCACTATCCATCCATCCACCCACACATCCATCCATCCACCCACCAATCCATCCATCCACCCACCCATCCAACCATCCATCCACCCATCCATCTACCATCCATCCACCCATCCACCCACCAATCTATCCACCCAAGCACCCATCCACCCATCCATCATGCATCCACCTATCCACCGAGCCACCCATCCTTTCATCCACCCATCAATGCACCCACCAATCCACTGACTCACCCAACCATCCATCCAACTACCTAGCCACCTACCCACTCACTCATCCACCCATCCATCTACCATCCATCCACCCACCCACCCACCCATCCATCCATCCATGATCCATCCACCCATCCACCCACCCACTCACCCATCCATCCGTCCGTCCGTCCACCAACCCACCCACCCATCCACCCCATCCATCCATCCATCTACCCATCCACCCACTTACCAATCAATCCATCCATGAACCCACCCACCCATCTACCCACCCAACCAGCCTTCTACCCACACTCCATAGATCCACCCCACCCACCATCCATCCACCCATAATCAATCCATCCATGAACCCACCCACCCATCTACCCACCCAACCAGCCTTCTACCCACACTCCATAGATCCACCCCACCCACCATCCATCCACCCATCCATGCATCCATCTGCCATCCATCCACCCATCCAGCTACCCACCCATCCATCCATCCTTCCACCCAAACCCCCATCCATACATCCAGCATCTATCCACTCATCCACCTATATTTCCATTGATCCAGCAGCTAGCTACCCCCATACACCCATCCATCCATTTATCCACCCACCTGTCCATCCATCCATCCATCTACCCAGCCATACACCCATCCATCCATCATCCACCCATCATCCACCAATGCATCCAACCATCCATCTACCCACACTTCCATCCAACCTCCATAGAACCACTCACCCATCCATCCATCCACCCAACCACCCATCCATCAATCCACAAATCCATCTACCATCCATCCACCCACCAACCCACACACATATCCATCCACCCACCCATCCATCCATCCATCCACCCACCTAGCCATCCATCCATCCACCCACTAACCATCCATCTATCTACTATCCATCCACCCACCCATCCATCTATCCCCCATCCATCCACTCATCCATCAACCCACCAAACCATGGATATAACCACCCACACCACCATCCGTCAATACATTCACCCACCCATCTACCCACCTATTCATCCATCCATTCACCCACACATTCATCCACCCACTAACCCATTCACCCATCTATCCTCCCACCCACCCATCCATCCACCCATCCACTGACCCACCTGTCCACCCATCCACCCAACCAAACACCCATCCACTTACTCACTCATCCACCCATCCATCCATCCACCAATCCATCTACAAATCCATCAATCTGTCCACCCACCCATCCACCCACCCATCCATCTATTCACTCACCCACCCTCCCATCCACCCACCCATCTATCCATCCACCAACTTGCCCATCCACCCATCAATCCACCATCCATCCACTTATCCACCCACCCACACCTCCATCCACCCACCCATCCATCCATCCCCCCATCCATCCACCCATTCATCCATCTATCCATCCACCCATCCATCCCATCACCCATTCACACATCCATCCACCCACCCATCCACCCACCCATCCATCCATCCACCCATCCACCCATCTATTCACTCACCCACCCTCCCATCCACCCACCCATCTATCCATCCACCAACCTGCCCATCCACCCATCAATCCACCATCCATCCACTTATCCACCCACCCACACCTCCATCCACCCACCCATCCATCCATCCCCCCATCCATTCACCCACACATCCATCCACCCACCAGGCCACTGACTCACCCATCCACCCATCCATCTACCATCCACCCACTCATCCACCCATTTATCCATCCACCCACTCATCCATCTATCCATCCACCCATCCATCCCATCACCCATTCACCCATCCATCCACCCACCCATCCATCCATCCACCCATCCACCCATCCAGCCAGCCAGCCAACCATCCATTCACCATCTACCCACCCATCCACCCACCCACCCATCCACCCACCCATGCATACATCCACTGTCCATACACCTGACCACCCACCCATCCACCCACCCACACATCCACCCACCTACCCATCCATCCACCCAACCACCCATCCACTTACCCACCACCCATCTATCCATCCATTCATCCACCATCCACCTACCCACCCACCCATCCATCCATTCATCCACCATCCATCCATCCACCCATCAACCTACCCACCCACCCACCAACCCATCCAACCATCCATCCATCCACACATCCACTCATCCATCCATCCATCTACCCATCCACTCTCCATCTACCCAACCAGCTACTCACCGATCCATCCATCAACCCACCCATCCACCCCATCCACCCATCCATCCACCCACGCATCCATGCATCCATCCATCATCCATCTACCCATCTATCCACCTTCCCATCCTTCCATCCATCCAACCACTCACCCACCCACCCATTCATACATCCACCCATCCATCTACTCATCTATCTACCATCCATCCACCCACACATCCACCCACCTACACATCCACCAACCCACCCACCCACCCACCCATTTTTCCATCCATCCATCCATCTACCCACCTATCCATCCAACCAGCCAGCCATCTATCCACCCATCCACCTACCCACACATCCATCCATCCATCCATCCACCCACCCACCTATCCATCCTTCCACCCATCCTTCCACCCATCCATCCATCCATCCATCCACCCATCCATTAATTCCCCCACCCATATATCCATCCACTATCCATCCACCCATCCACCCATCCACCAGCCATCCATTCTTCTACCCATCCACCCATCCTTCCATCTATCCATCCAACCATCTATCTATTCACCAATTATCTATCTATCTATCTATCTATCTATCTATCTGTCTGTCTGTCTGTCTGTCTGTCTGTCTGTCTGTCTGTCTGTCTGTCTGTCTGTCTGTCTATCATCTATCTGTGTTCTTTGGTCCTAATTTGGGCTAAGCCTGTTAACTACAGGAGCAGCACACTCCAGCCGTTGGGATGGACGCCCATGGAGCCCTTCCTTCTTCAGAATGTGCTGGCTCCTGACAAGGTGATGTCATAGAGAAGATTCTAGAAGAGGGCCTGCCATGGAGAAAGAGCAGCGTTTTAGAAGTTGCTGGGTGAAGGCAAATGAGTTGGGAAGGAAGAAACAGAGTCTGAAGAGGCCAGGAAACCACGTGTAGGCCCGGCCTCCTGTCCCACATCAGCACCAGCGCTGTGTCTGGGACTGCACCCTTTCCCCGCCCTGGAGAAGGTACTAGAAGGTTGGGCACAGGTGTGCAGGGAGGTGGGTAGCTCTTTGTTAGTCCATTCATGCATGGCTCATTTGTGGTGTGTGTGTGTGTGTGCCGGGCCTCGAACTCAGGGCCTGGGTGCTGTCTCTAGTTTTTCCCCTCAAGACTTGGTGCTCTACCACTTGAGCCACACCTACCTCCACTTGTGGCTTATTTAGTTACTTATTTTTTTTTAGGGGGGTAGTTCATTGTGCAGTGAGCATCTCCCGGACTTCCTTGCCTGGGCTGGCTTTGAACCACGATCCTCTGGATGTCAGCGTCCTAGGGGGCTCCTGCGGAGACTCTAAGCTGTTCATTTTCGGTTTCATTTCATTGGTTATTCTCCCTGGCGTCTCTGTTCTCTCAACAGGAGCCCGGAAGTCGATGAAAGCACCCATCATCCTCTTCCTCATCAGCTACCTGGCGGCTCCCACGTGCCCGGCCATCTTGGGGCGCTGTAAAATTGCCAAAATGCTCAGTGACGGGGGCCTGGATTACTTCGAGGGCTACAGCCTACAGAACTGTGAGCACAAGCCCTCTCCGCCCTCTTCTGTGTCTCCCTCCCTCAGGCCCCTCTTTGACGTTCTTTATCTCCCCCTAGGGGTGTGCCTGGCTTATTTCGAGAGCAAGTTCAACCCCTCGGCCGTGTACGAGAACTCCAGGGGCGGCTACATGGGCTACGGGCTCTTTCAGATCCGGGATAGCAATTGGTGTGACCATGGGAAGAATCTGTGCAGAGTGTCCTGTTCTGGTGAGTCACACACACACACACACACACACACACACACAGCCTCCCTCCCTGGGGCGGGTGGAATATTATACAGCCAGGAAGATGGAGAAGGAAGTTCGGGTGAACCAAGGCAGGTTAGGCCTGGGACGGGAAGGCTGGAGACCTGCATTCCAGTAGGGTCCTCTGTCATCCTAGCTACTCATGTTCCTTCCTTCCTTCCTTCCTTCCTTCCTTCCTTCCTTCCTTCCTCCCTCCCTCCAGGGGTCAGATGCCAGCAGTTCAGTGGTCACAGGGAGGAGACAGGACATGGTCACCCCAAGGGGAACCTCAGGACCTGTGGACAGGAGGAGAAAGCAAGGCCGGGCACCCGGGGCTCCCACCTGTCATCCCAGCTTCTCAGGAGGCTGAGATCTGAGGATCGTGGTTCAAGGCCAGCCCAAGCTTGGAGTTCAAGTCCCAGTACTGGGACAAAAGTGGAGGAGAGGGAGAGGGAGAAGGAGAGGGAGAGGGAGAGAGAGAAGGAAGGAAGGAAGGAAGGAAGAGAGGGAGGGAGGGAGGGAAAGGAGGGAAGGGAAGGAGGAAGGAAGGAAGGAGGGAAGGAAGGAGAGAGAGAAGGAAAGAAAGGAAGGGAGGAAGGAAGGAAGGGAGGGAGGAAGGAAGGAGGGAAGGAGGGAGCAGGGAGGGGGAGGGAGGAGGGAGGGGAGGAGGGAGGTGCGGGGGTCTCTGTGTCCAGCTGCTCTGGTGGTCTCTGGGTGCTGACCTGGCTTTGTTCCTCCACAGCGTTACTGAACCCGAATTTGAAGGCCACGATCCAGTGTGCCAAGAAGATCGTCAAAGGACGGCTGGGGATGGGGGCCTGGTGAGCCGTGTGTGTGTGTGTGTGTGTGTGTGTGTGTGTGTGTGCGCGCGTGTGTGTGTGTGTGTGCGTGCTCACACACACACACAACCACAGATATAATATAGAATGCATATGATGCATGATGTATATTTATTACATCTGTATTGTATTGTGTATATATGATAAAGGTATAGAGAGAATATATATAATATAAAATCATGTAATATAAGTGTATTATTAGATATGTATCTATTATATTTATATAATAGATACATATATTATACTATATTATATATTTATAATATATAACATATATAATATACTATATTATATATTTATAATATTTATGCTTATTATATGTGATATATGCTAGTATATCAAATTATAGACTATATAGATAATATATTATTTATATGATATATTATATAACACTATAACAATATATAATATGTGATTATATAATGTTATATATAATAATTTAATTTAAGATGTATTATATATAATAAATATGATAACTAATACTAGATTTAATACTATATATATACAAACATAATATATAATATAACCATTTTTTTAGGGGGGGGTCCGGTCCTGGGGCCTGAACTCTGGGCCTGGGCGCTGTCCCTCAGCTCTTCAGCTCAAGGCTAGC